AAGTTCTGGAAACCCACAATCTTGTGGTAAGCTAGGTGTAGTGGAAAGGTAATTGTATTTCTGGTATTTTTGGCTCAGTTCTCCTCCTTCTCTTACTCCCCCACCTCTTCCCACTACTACTACTACTACTATTCACACACACTTCTTCCATCTCATTCCAAAAAAGGAAACTTCCGTGAGTCTCTGTCTCCTCCTTTGTCAAATGATAGGAGGAGGGGAGATTGTCTCTCAAACCATTTCCATCCATGAATAATGGTCACACACACATAACTCTGATTTTCCAGATAAATTATTTCTATATCCTGTTTGACACTGTCTCTTTGATTTTCCCAATATATTAATACTACGTTTTATCTCTACAACCACCTTGTACCTGCTCTGAAAGCTCCAGCCCAGGGGAAGGCCCATGACTAGGGCTCTACCTACCAGAAATCAGTCCCCAAACAAATATCCCTCCTCAACCTGCACACACCCAGACACTAACGAGAGAAAGGGTTCTCTCTCCCATACATTTATGGGGCCTCTGACAAGTGACAACCTTGTGGGTTGGAATTAGGATAGCCAAATAAAAAGAGTGAAATTTGAAGTTCAGGTAAACAACAAATAATTTGTTAGCATAAGTATGTCCCATGAAGTATAGATATTGCCTATTTGAATGGGGCATATTCATACTAAAAATTTATTTATTTTTATCTAAAATTCAGATTTTGTTTGCTAAATCTGGTAACCTCAGTTGGGTGAGATTCCTACCGTTGTTTGTTCTCCCTCCACCACCATGGACTCAGGCACGGAGAAAATATATGACCTAAACCAGACTTTGGCCAAAGAAAGACCTAAAACTTCTAAATATATTTTGAAGCATCTGAAAGAAATCATGAGGGAAGCCGTTTATGGAAGGATATTATTCCTCATTTCCTTGTGGTCATGACAGTCTGAAACAGGAATTAAAGTCTGGTTCTAAACTCAGAGAAAAAGTTGTTCCTTTTTCTTACTTTTACTTTTGCCTTCATAAAAGTACCACATTAAAAAAAAAATTTTTTTTTAAGCAAGTACAAACTATAATCAACCATAGGCAGTACAAGGGAGGCCAGCCTTGGTTTAGGGGTGTAAATGGTTTCACCTGGAGATTGAACCCACTCTTAAGAAAAAAATACATAGACATTCTGCTTCATGCATCAATTGCATGGGAAATTCATGTGAGTGCATTACTGTGTCTTCTCATTCCTCAGTGTCGTAATGGAGTTCACTGCTGGGCTGGAAGGCTGGGGGCCTGGTCTCAGGGTGCAAGAGGACATGAGACGAAGCCAGTGCAGCACAGAATCCTGGCAGCCTACCCACAGGTTCATCTACCTTTCTATTAATAACTGCAGCACACACACATTTGGACACCTCGACACTCTAGAAAAGAATAAACTGGGGGGAAGGGGGAAGTGCCGCTGTGAGCTCTCTAGGATAAAGTGGGCAGACTATTTGTAAAGAGAGGTTTGAACTTCCTTAATTAATAATTGTTGGTAATAGGTTTGCATTGTTCTAAACAACAACCATGGAGAGAAGTACTATTATATTCATTTTACAGATGAATGAAGTTGAGCCTCAAAGAGCTTCCAAAACTTACCTGAAGTCACACAGCCAGTTTAAACACTGGCCAGTTTGACTCTGAAATCTATTTTTTTCCACTTTACCATACCGTATTGCCTTTTATCTCTAAGAGTTGCAAAGGTTGCAGTAGATGTTTCGTAGGTCAAATCCAGCCCATGGATTAGCCAATATTGTTTAACCAGTACTACTTTCTTGTCTTTTTTTTTATTATTATTATTTTTAGAACATTATAGGGGTGCAAACGTTTAGGTTACATATATTGCCTTTGCACAGCCCAAGTCAGAGCTACAAGCGTGCCCATATCCAGCCTAAAGACATTCAAATTTGAGGGTTTAAAAAAGTAGTACTGGGGTTTCAGGTTGGCTCTTCCACACTTCCCACTTTATCATAGTCACTACCACTCTCTACTGTATTTCACCTGCCTCCGGTCACACACTTATGTTACCTACCTGGCCACTGCAGGCATTTGAGTTTGCAACTCCAGGTTTGGTGTTTGAAGGTTCTTTTACCAATATTATTTGAGACTCTTAATGACTCTACATAGGAGAAATGGTAGATTTTAACCAATGCTATGGAGATTGATAAAGAAACATGCTCAGTGGTGAAAGATGTTTTTTTCAGAGTCTCCACCCAGTACTTAGCAAGGCCAGCGTCTTACACTGAGCATTCTGAGTGACCCACACAGTTTGGGGTGAAAGTCACTAACATCTCAGAGATTTGAATTAGATCAGAGGGAAAGCTAAAGAAAATGGGGGAAGAACTTGGAATTAGAGAAGACTCAGTTCAAGGATAACTTGTATTTTGTTGGTGTGTTCAGCATAGCAAGAACTCTACCTCCTCCAAACATCCAATCTGCCTCATGAGTAAAAATTGGTGATACATTGCAAGAGAAAACTATAGAGAAACGTCCTCCAATTGTGTGCCCCAAATAAACAACTGGGGACCTCATGTAAACAAAGAATGTCAATAACTAGGAATGGTCATTGTTTCCTCCTCAGTCATTGTACTTCTGAACAATGTACAAATGTAATTTGAACAAGGTACAATGTAAATGGTGCAGCCACCATTTAATTTATTCATGTCCTTCTGGTGCTAATAAGATTGGTTCATTTTAGCCTTTATTAACAAGGAAGGAATGGAAGGCAGGCAGGGGTCCAGAGCACTAATCTACGAAAGGACAATGTCCATGCTTTCAGCTGATAGAACTCTATTCTTTGGTTATATTTCCTAAACAGAGCCCAGTTCAATCCTCAAATTTGCCAAGCAGATCCACTCACACACCTCTTGTTTATATTCTTCCCTCTGGCCTTTGCAGTCAGAACGTGTGGGATCAAGGTCAAGTTACTTCATTTATTTTTTGTTTATAAAACACTTAACGTAGCCCATCTTACGTGCCAGGCACAGTTTTAAAGTAATAACTCATGGAAGCCTCCTGTTAGCTGTATGAGGTAGGGTCCACTATTGTCCCCATTTTACAGATGGAGAAACTGAGGCACAGAGTTGTTAAGAAACCTTCCCAAGTCACACAGGTAGTATGTGAAGTTGGTACTCTTGACTACTTTGCCGAGTGCTCTCATCTTGGCTATGTGCTGACATAACATCTCCTGGCTATACCATTGCTAATGCTCCTGATTACTGGGGGAATAGATTCTCCTGCTGTGCTCTTTATACATTTGCCTTGCTGTTCTAGTCCTGGGCTGGCACCGGTAAGTCAGCCAGCTTTAATAAGTGCTGGGAAAGCTCCCCGTGGTACTCTGATAGGAACTGTATGTGTGTCCTGCAGACCTGCTTCCCTCCATCACTGATGCATGAAATAGAGCACCTTAAATAGACCACCTGAGACCCCCCCGAATTTAGGCCAAGCTAGCGCAAGGACGCAAAGAACCACCGACCTGCTAACTCTCAACAGATGACCAGCTGCCACCTGAATTTCCGAATGGGTTTTTCTCTGAGCCCACTTGATATGCTGTGGCTCAGTGGAGGGTGACAGGAAGTCGAGGAGACTTGACACCCTGCCAACAGAGAGACAGCTGAAGGAAACGAGGACATTTAGCTTGGAGAAGAGAAACATGGGGGCCTCAGGGGCTGGCATCAGATAGCTGACACGGTGCCACGTGCAAGGAGGCATAGGCTCAAGTTGTCTGGAGGGCAGAACACAATGGAAACTCCAGGCAATCAGATTTCGGCTCAATGTAAATGATTTCTCTTTCTCCCTGTTTTTTAAAAATTTTTGAGAAAAAAACATTTTAAGTGATAAAAGTAGCACAAGCTGTTTGTAAAAGAAAATTCAAACAATAATGAAAGTAAATGGAAAGTAAATGCCTCCTGTTTTCTCTTACTCCCACGCCCTAGGAATACACTTGACATTTATTTTCCCATGGCCCTATCTATGCACATGCAAACACACCATCCATACATACACATGCATATCCACACATATACATGCCTACTATGTGTGTCCATGTAAGTTTGCTCCTCTTTTATTTTCAAAAATACACCCATAAAATGGACACATCTCAGTAGGTAATGAACAAAAAAGACCTTTCAAATGTAAATTTCTGTGATGTCTAAATGACATCATATATAGATGACCTGCTGAAGGGTCTGAAATATATGACTTTTTAATTATTGACTGGAAATATTTGAAGTGTTCCACAATTTTAGTTAACCTGATTTGATATTTTTGCATTAAAAAAAATCACCAGGTACCTCGTAAAATGGAAGTAGGCATTTTGTTCTGATACTTAAGAGAAAGGACATTCAAATGATTTAAGCAACTCAAAAATGGGCTGCTGGCTGGGTGTGGTGGCTCATGCCTGTAATCCTAGCACTCTAGGAGGCTGAGGTGGGAGGATTGCTCAAGGTCAGGAGTTCAAGACCAGCCTGAGCAAGAGCGATACCCTGTCTCTACTAAAAATAGAAAGAAATTAATTGGCCAACTAAAAATATATAGAAAAAATTAGCCGGGCATGGTGGTGCATGCCTGTAGTCCCAGCTACTCAGGAGGCTGAGGCAGGATTGCTTGAACCCAGGAGTCTGAGGTTGCTGTGAGCTAGGCTGATGCCACAACACTCACTCTAGCCTGGGCAACTGAGTGAGACTCTGTCTCAAAACAAAAAACAAAAAAAACATGGGCTGCCTAGGAGTTTTAACCACTGGCTATGCTCAAGGAGAGGCTGGTTGACCAGTTGGTTAGGAGGGTGTAGAGGTGATCAAAGCCACAGATGGGAAGGCGGGAGAGTTGGACTGGGTGCCTTCAATGATCCATTTCAGCGCTCTGCTTCCCTGGCTTCCTGTGTGCGCGCACCTAGGCAGCGAGAAGGATCACAGGTGGTGCCCTATGACCAGGAGCATCCAAATGGCTCCCACTCGCCACCGCAGGAACAGCCGGTGCACACACAGCCTGGCTAGCTCCAGAGCCGCCCACGGACACATGCTGGGGGGACAGGAGTGCCTGCAGGCAGCAATTCTTGTGCCAGCTGCTCTTTAGACATCGGGAGCTTTCCACTTTGGTACCTGGATTTAAAAGAAAACAAATTCCTCTCTAAACACTGCAGGTTTTAAATTGACAGCAAATACTGTACATTCTTATGAGCCTGGCATGGCAGGAAATGATTCCTTCACCTGTTTCCTATTTTGACATTTCATCAAGATGGAATTTAGTGGCTAGGAAAGATAATATTGAAATATTTGATCTTAAAAAAAAGAAAGACTGATTAGAGTCTTCAGTGTTCAGACTCCCTCTGTTTGTGTATGGATTAGACAGATATATTTCGTTTCTTTTTATTTTGAAAAAAAAAAAAACAACCCAGACACATTGCAAAAGGAGTACATTGAACACAGATAAGGTGTATACTCTTACCTGCATTCACCAAAATTATTAACATTTTGCCATATTTGCTTTATCTCTCTCTCTATATATTAATATATATGTATAATTAATATTATTATTGTTAGGAACTATTGAGGTAAGTTGCAGATATCATGGCCTTCCCACCTAAATAAAACACATCAGCAGGTGCCTCCTAAAAACAAAGACAGAGTGCTGATCAAATTTAGGAAATGTCACACTGATAATGAATCTATTGCTGAATGTAATCATTTTGCCCATCTTTTATAACATGTTTTCCCAATTGAGAATTTCTTATGTATGCTTAGTTGTCATGTTTCTTGACTCTCTTTAATTTCAGAACAAAAAGGTTACTCTCAACCTTTGCCTTTTCTGACATTGATATTTTTGAAGAGTGCAAGTAGTTTTCTAGCATGCCTCTCGATTTGGGCTCGTCTGGTGTTTCCTTTAGATGAGCTGCAAATTATGCACACTCAGAATCCTTCTCAGTGCATCACATTAGGGGGCACCTGATGTCATTTTGCCCCATTAGTGGTGAAGTTAACCTTGATCATGTGGTTAAAGTGGTATCCACATCATTCTTCCACTTTAGGGGAATCTTTTCCACTTATAATAAATGATCTATGGGAAGATGCTGGTGGTGTCACTCGGATTTCTTCACTCTAAACCTTTTGTCCTTTGTTATACTAATCTTTGGGGAGACACTTTTAGACTGGGTTAGTAGCTTGTTTACAAGCAGGCTGGCTTTAGCATCCATTGATGACACTTACCTGAATCAATTACAACGTTACTAGAGTGGATAAATGCTTTTGGAAATGGGAAAATTGTAATATTGAGGTTTCCTCCCTGCAAATACCCCCACTACATTATTTCTCCCCTGACCCCAAAAGGGATACCTCAGCCAAACCTCTTGGGCCCATGTGTATCAGCTACAAGTCAAGGTCCCTGACTGCACTTTCTCCCCACCATCCCCAAGTGTAAGATATATCTGGGGGACAGAGCAGCTGTGGAGCAGCAGAGAGAGCCCCAGATTGAGCATCAGAGAGCTGATAACCTGGCACCTCCACTTGGAGGTTCCACAGGTTCCTCTAAATGGACATGTCCTAAGCTGAATCCCTCATGCTTTTGCCTCCTCCAGAGTTCCTGTTTCAATGATGTCACCACCATCTACAGTTTCCCAAGCCAAAAATCTGAATCTGAGCAGTATTCTCGACTCCTACTTCTTACTTACATTCCACATCCAATCGATAACCAAGTCTTGTGTGATAAGATCTTCCAAACATCTCTAAGAATTTGTCCCCTTCTCTCTGTCTCTATCGCCACCATCCTTTCTCCAGGCTACCATCCTCTCTCACCTGGTCAGAAATAGCCTTTTGCCTCTCCTCCTGCCTCTAAGATTTTCTGTATTGCAATCCATTCTTTTCATGTCAGCCAGAGTGCCCTCTCCAAAGTATAAATCTGACCACATCCTCCCAAACCCACCTACATTAAACCTTTTGGCAGCTCCCCATTGCTCCAAGAACTATTTGGTTAAAGTGATAGGTCTAAACTCTCTACCATGGTATCCCCACAACGTAGAGTTGGCCCAATTCCCCAGAGATGTTTTCCATCATGACAGCATCTCTTCCTTATTGGCCTCATTTCTGGCCAGTGAGATCAAGACAGGCACAGGGTGACATATGTCTGAAATGGGTTCTTGAAAAAGCACATGCATCTTGGCAATGTGCACATGCAAAGCAATCATCCCTTAGGAAATCCTAGGAGCAATCTTTGACTTGGTCATTTCCAGGGCTCTAACTGTAGAAAGCTGCCCCTGAACTGTGGATCCTCTTCTTGGTTGAAGAGAGAAGTACCTTCAACAGTTTGCTCATCAGGGCAGGGGAAGCCATTTAAAAAGATGGGCCACCAGAGGGCGCACCATGACCCTGCAACAGGCTGGGGAAGAATGGGTTCCACATGTATAGTATTATATCTTGAAAGAAAAGATATTAGAAAGATATTAGATATATTTGTTTACTCTTTATGACTGCAACATGCATCCCAAATCCCAGAGAAAACAAATTCATCTATTTTTATTCCATATTCATAGTTTCAGGACAAACCTGCCAAGAAAAATCTTTTCCATCGCTGAATGGAAAAGGAAACAGGTAATCTCAGCTATTTTTTTTTTTTCTCCAGGAAGTCAGACTACATTTCAAATAGTGTCTCCTTAGGCCAGAACTCTTGATCCATTGAAGAAACTTTTAAGAATCTATAAGGCACAGTATGTATAAATATTAGAAAATTCTCAAGAATATTGAGGTTTAGGCCGAATCATAAAGTATGATTAATAGCTACCTCTTATGTGCATTTACCGTGTTCCAGGCACTATACTAAGACTTGTATTAGTATTATACGTCAATATAAATACACTTAGGTCACATAACAAGCTTTGAAGTATTTTTGTTCGCATTTTGCAAATGAAAAAGCTAAGGCCCAGAGCGCTTCAGCAACTTCACTAAGACCACAAAATTAGGACTTGAATGCAGGACTAACAGGTGTCAAAGCCCATGTTCCTACTCACAGTAGGGTGTGTCTTGGCACTCTCTCATCTTTCTCTTAGAAGCCCACCTCCTCTATTTTAGGACTTCTTCTTTTCCTTCCATGAGTACCTTTGCATTGCTAGGTGTGACTCCAGAAGCCATCTACCACAGTCTAGATCCAAGTTGCCCCCACTGTTTTCTAGATTTTACTTTCTATTTCCAATCAAAAGTGGCCTATCCTGTGACTCATTCCTTTAGGACCACAATTTCATGCTAGAGTACCCTTTAGTGCCAGGTGGTCAATAAATACTACTTGACCATCACTGTGCCAGACTAAGGTGATTCCTGTATACGTGGTGTGTACTAGATCCTTGTTGGATGAATGAATGAATCAGTGAATGAAAGAATGAATGAACAAATACTAATACACAATCAATGACAATAGAGGTAGAAGACAGAACATGAGTTCTGGATTAAGGAAGTTAGATTTAGATTCTGGCTCTATCATTTGGGTTGTACTTAGTACTATTCACCGGAAATTTCTGACTGTGGTCATTTTAGGCATCTGATAGTACCATATCTCCCACTGCTTAGTGTCTTCAAATTTCCAAGAGGTGCCAGTCTTCAGGATTTGGGAATAAGAAATCAGAATTCCCAAGAATTCTAAGAAATCCTGAAATCATAAATTACTCTTTATTTTTCATGGTAATTTTTTTTTTTTTTTTTTTTGAGACAGAGTCTCACTTTGTTGCCCGGGCTAGAGTGAGTGCCGTGGCGTCAGCCTAGCTCACAGCAACCTCAATCTCCTGGGCTCGAGTGATCCTTCTGCCTCAGCCTCCCGGGTAGCTGGGACTACAGGCATGCGCCACCATGCCCGGCTAATTTTTTATATATATATCAGTTGGCCAATTAATTCCTTTCTATTTATAGTAGAGACGGGGTCTCGCTCAGGCTGGTTTTGAACTCCTGACCTTGAGCAATCCGCCCGCCTCGGCCTCCCAAGAGCTAGGATTACAGGCGTGAGCCACAGCGCCCGGCCGGTAATTTATTTTTATATATTTCTATAATAGGAGCAACCATAATGAACACTAAGTCATTTTTCTGTGATAGAGTTATATTATTTGAGGTTTTCTGTATTAAAAAATGACATAATAATAAATGTGTGGCTTATGATTATTGTGAATTGGCTTATCGTGACAAGACTACATATTTCAATAATGTGTAAAAATAATCTCTTCCTTATGTATACATTTGATATTAGAAAATATTAAAAGATGGAGACAGTAACATAAGATAAATACCAACTAAAAATTATAAAAATGAAGTATATCACAACTATTTCTATAAGTTACCATTATTAAGATGAAAATTTAGAACACACAAAGCATTATTTGCCTAGCCAATTTCCTGTTTTACATTGACATTTGTTCAGCTGTTAGGAAGGCATTCAAAAGGATCTTCAAGTCGAACATTAGAGTACTTATTGCTTCATACAAGTGCTTTCTTTTTTTAATTAAAATAAAAATATTTGTTTTTCTTGGCTGCTAGATCTGGTTGATTTTGCCACTGAAATTGATATTGCTTTTGCTAATTCAGATTTTTGTTCAGTCTCTGATTTCCTGTCAAAGTAGTATACAACATTCATATCATCTGCTCTTTGCATCTCTTTATTAAAATATTTACAAAGAACTGCAGCATAGAAGGAACACTCAAAGACTGGAAAACGCCAGTGAACATTACTGGGTTGTATTCAACTAAATAGAACATTCAGATCTCTTAGCAAAGTTAACGGTACTAAATAGAATCACATGTTGAAGTTGCCAATTTAAGGACTTTCGTTTCCAAAACTGGATTCTTAGAACCTCACTTATAGAATTTGTGTGAAGTATGCTATATGTACAAACTTACTAATACTTATTTATTTGAAAAATGACTCACCCAGCAGACAAGGCCATGAACACACAGTTACAATACGACAATAGCTACAGGCAAAAGACTGACTGACTAGATGGCTCTCGCTTCTCTAGTACCTCCTCCCTATCCCAGTTCTTAGAAATGTCGACCTTAACCTTTGATTCTACACACCAGTACTGCTTGGTCTTGCTTTCGACTTAACATGAGTGAGGCCTTTGAGCCAACAGTGTCTCTATGTTGATTCCCAGCCTTTAATTCTTATGGAAGAATCATAATACTTTTTCCCATTTTCCTAATTTGTTGACTAAATGTCACCGGGACTTGGGATCTGGAAAAACATATGCATTTCCAGAAAACTACCAGGAAGGAATTCCCTCGTGGAAATACCACCACTGCCTTTAAAGTGAGATGTGATGATGTGACAGGCTTTGGCCAATAGGACATGGAAAGGGGTGACCTGTGCTACTTCCAGGCAGAAACTTTGACAACCAGTATGAGATTTGCCATGTTACCTTCGCCCTGCTACACTAAGCATGGAAGCACAAATTGAGTTGGAACCTCCAGAGCTGGAATTCCTGTGTGACGATGATAAGCTGAGCCCACTGATGATTCCCGTAACACACATAATAGGCATGAGAGGATCTTGTGAGCTTTTGAGGCTGTCACTGCAGCACAGCCTAGAGCAGCAGGCCCCCATGTATCGGGTAGATTTCTTACCCTTCCTGAGTTTCAACTCCCTCATTTGAAAAGTGAAAAAGTAATTTCCACTTCAGTTTTCTTTTTTTTTTGTAAGAACTATCAAGATAAGTGCATACAAAGATTTGAATATGTCTAATACATAGTAGATGTTCAAGACTATTCTCCTCCAAAGGGATAAAGAGAACATGCTAGAGACAGACACTATTTTAAAAAATCAGGAGTCAGAGAGATGTCAGACTTCCCAAATGCAACACTGGAAGCAGGATGTCCAAGGAGCAATGCCTTTGAAATGCTGAGGGAGAATTCTATAACCAGATAAACTGTCAGTTAAGTAGGCAAGTCTATAATGAGCCGAACTATTGATTACGTATGAGGGTAGAATTTAGCCATTGTCATGACAATTTTTCATCCTGTCCACCTTTTCTCATGCAGTTTCTTCACCAAAACGAATGAATGATTTGTCCAAGGTGAATACAAATGGTATAGGAAACAGGAGAATCCAACCCAAGATAGAGGGAGCTCCTGTGTACAGTGTCCCCAACTTGATGTCTGGGTGGAGCCTATTGAACAACTGGCCAGTCTGGAGCAGGAGAACAGGGGTCCAAGGGAGGCATGATCAGGGACAGTGTGAAACTGGTAGGAAACCTGATGTGTATGGAAAATAGTGCTGAGAGGGAGAGTATACTCTGTTGGAAAATTTGAGAAGAATTAATGATAGTACATGGGTAACTAAAAGAAAAAAAAAAAAATATATATATATAAGGCAATTACTAACTCCAGGAACAAGAAAAATTTTAAAAAGAAAGGAAATGCAATCATGATATATTACTTGACTCAGCAGAGAAGATTATTTACAAGGTTATAATGATTTATTTACTAATTATTGATTTAATCAGAAACGTAAAAAGAACTGCCAAATATAGGTAGAACAGAGGAAGAGGGAGGTAAAGTCAGGGAAGTGCTAACTCTTCATTTTTCCAATTAGAAAATCAATAGGTAATGCCTGAAATTGGTAAGATCGGAAATCCTATCTCAGCAGATTATTCAAAACTATAGAGGCATATGCCACAGGAAGCATGTGACAGATTTAAAAGTAGTTGCTTCCAAGGAGTTTGCATTTGGGGCTTGGGACCATCGTTCTCTGTTATAAACCATGTAGTGCTATTGGCTCTTTAAAAGATGAACATGTATTACTCTGAGATGAAGATTAGTTACTATTTAAAAATTAATAAACACATACCTAAATCCATAAATATTTACACAAAGCCTTGGGTTCCAGTCCCGGGTCAGCCAGCGGCAAGTTTTGTGGCCCTGGGTAAGTTCTTTCACCTCTCAGGTTCCCCATCTGCAAGCAGAAGGTTTGAACTCACTGGCTATTGCACCGCTATCACTATTTGCACTATTGCACTATATCCGTTATTGCAGTGATGCGCTACTATTAAAATGCAAACTTGTAAACTACCTTTAAAAAGACTGCTCCTTACTTTTAAAAGCACATTATTTTTCTTAGATAAAATACTAAAATGAACTAAAAATTTTAGGTTACAAAAAAAGAAGTACCTACAAAGCCTCAGACATACTGGCCACATTATTATTATTTTTTTTAATAGAGCAGTTTCAATAGTCAGGCAAGCTTTGTGTGAGATACACTTATCATTCTAGGCAATGTGGGTAAATATGCCCTTGAGTGTTCTCATTTATCATATGTCCCATTTTCCCCCCTGGGGACAGTTTCAATGGTTATTAAACCAGAATTCAGACCCAGATAACACCAGGGAGTGATCTTCCCCCTGAAGGACCTCCTGTGTAACCACTGCAGGCATAAGAGGTCTTGGGTGGAACTAATGAAGCACTTTGGTGGTTCAGAGATTTTTCAGTGGAGAGAATTCATTCTCCCCTTACCTCCAGCTCCCTGAGCCACTTCCCTAGCTGTGCTAAACCCTCAAACAAGGAGCAGCAAAGAGCATTTCCAAAAAAACAGAGAGAGAGAGATCAAAGTTGCAGACTGTATCTGCCTCCTACAGCTTTTTCTTTCTTCCTTCTACTCTGTTCTTTCCACTCTCCCCACCCACTCAGTCTGTTGCCCGGGACGTACAGTTCAGGTGACTTAACCTTACTTTTCCCCTTCAGCCCTCAGACATGATTTGTTCTTCTCTGGGGTCAGAACTGCTTCCCCAGCACCAGGTGGTCTGGCTGCGAGCAGGTGAAGTTAGCTGGGTATAATTTGCAAAGAGCCATTTATTTTTCTGGCAGGAGCAAGCCCCAGTGATCTACCTTCATTAAAACTTCAATTCAGAAAAGTAAATCTGACAGCCCCAGACTCCTGGCCTCAGAGCTCTTGATTATTAATAATTTCTGTGCTCAGAGTCCCAGGTGGGGATGAGGAAGGGAGTTCCTGGGTGGCCGCTGGAGGTGCATTTGCAGGCCACGACTACTCTTGCAGCTTCTTCACTCAGTTATGCAGAGCTGAGATTTGTCGCACTTTGCATAAGCTAGCTCATCTAATACCTTAACACCCTTATTCCCATTTTATAGGTGAAGAAACTGAGGCATAGGGTGGTGATGTGGCTTGCCCAAGTTTACACAACTAGGAGTTGGAGACATCAGATTGGAACTAAGGACTGTGTTACTCTAAAGCTCGAGTCTTGGGCTGCTTGGGCTGCTTCTCCTCTTGGGACTGTCTGCTCTGTGCTACCGAGACTAGGCTGGGGGTGGAGATTGCAGTTTGGTGCAGAGGGCTAGGTTTGGCTAGGTTTGAGGGAAACTCAGAGATTTGCTAAGTAAATGTAGACTGTCCCTGCTTTGGCTGGAGGAATATCTTCCTTCATTTTTGGTCGTCTTCATGTTTTTGAATCCCAGGTATAGGCTGAGAAGTGACTGTAGGCGACACTTGGAATACAACAGGATAGAATTCTAGTCTGACTTAGCAACAAAATGTAAGTGCTCATATGCTCAAGTTATTGGACACGTGGGCTAGGGGCAAAGAGTGACCTCACTGCTCTTGAACTGTGTTCTTTTTCATTCCTCATCTTCGTCTTCCTCCTTGCAGTGGGGACGAAGGTCTCAGCATCACCCTGTTTCCCAGGTGCGTCTGCGGTATCTTCTTGGCCCCAGTCAGTGAGGACTGGTTTAGCAGCTGGTCTGTGCCAGGTGTCCTCAAACTATGGCCTGCAGGCACATGCTGCCCGCCTAGGACATTTATCTGGCCCACGGGGTGTTTTTGCCGCTGCTGCCTGTCCTGCTTAGCAGCCGACTCGTCCCGGGCCCACAGTGCGCACCTTCCAACAGTCTGAGGGACAGTGAACTGGCCCCCTGTTTAAAAACTTTGAGGACCCCTGGCAACCCTCTGGCTTGGGAGAGGAACTGATGGGGTGCAGTCTTCCCAGCAGCGGGAGTAGCCCCTCAGGGAGAGGTGCTGAAATCTCTGCGGGGCCTCTAGGGTCCCGTCAGTCACGCAGGTGCAGGAGGCTCGGTGGCTTTGGAGACCACACCAGACAGATTCCAACCTCAGCCGAATCCCCTGGGCTTGCTCTTACATAATCGTTCTTTGTTATCTACTTAAAAAAAAATCCCTAGTGAGGACTATAAATGCTTTATTTTAAAATAACATTTCTTGGTTATTTGGGGTGGGAGGATGGAGTTCAAATGTATTACATATTCATTCCGGAATATTTAAGAAAAAAAGAAAAGCAGAAACAAGAAAAATAAATATTTCCTGTAATCCCACCAACTTGAATAACATTTTTTAAAATGTATAGCTTCTCATTTTTTTTCCTAGATGTATCTGTATTCACTTTTATTTATAAAAATAGAATTACATTGCATTTGCTGTTTGTGTCTCCCCCCGACACTGGCCAACTAACATTCATTTCTCTGCCTTCTGCTCTGCCAGCCAACCCTGACTTTGTTCAGATGTAGGACAGCCACATGCCATGGGGAAGGCTGGGACCTTCTCCAGCCCGAGGGAATGAAACTTAATTGGTCTAGGCCATTCTTGATAATTCCTTTTGCCTTGTCAGTGGTTACCTTGGGAATAAGCATGTGACATTATTTTGACCAAAGAGACATGAAGGAAGTCTATAGGAAGCCTCTGGGGAAAGTTTCTTTGCTCTTAAAAAAATAACTGACTTACAAAAAGCAAGTTCCCCTTTTCACATCTGGATATGGTTGTCTGTGTCTGAAACAATGGTGGTCAGTGTAGGGGAATGACATACATTTTCCTAGTTTAAGAATTAAAGTTAGTGAGTAATGTATATGTTCTGCCCAGAGTGTTTGAAAGTAATCTGTTCTGGACAAGGTCCTTGTGATAAACAAGGATGTTGCCTAGAGGCATAACAAAGGACCTGAGCTGCGAGTAGCAAGAGCGGCCCCGCCCCACGGCATTGGGGGTCTGGAGGCCACACGATAAACATATGGTTCCTGTGACTGCTGCGTACACCCCATAAGATGGCTGGTTAGTCAATGACGGGTAAGACCCCTCAAGGGAGGGGTGACCTAAGCCAGGCACAGCCGCCAGGGTTTAGCCGAAGATCTTAGGGGGTCACCCTAAGAAAAGCTGGGGATGAGAAATGTCCCCTGTGACTCTCCTTGCCCATCCTTGCTAATCTCTGTCCTTTATCTATGCCTAGAGCAACCACCTTGAGATTCTGAGTCAGGGGATGTCTGCTTCCCTAAGGCTATGCCAGAATTTATGGCCATTGCTGCAATGCCTGGGCGGTTACATACAAGGAACTAACTTTAATTTTTTAGAGTATAAAAATAAAACGGACCCGGTGTATTATTACTTGAGTCAACTGTTTGTATGTGTGTCTGTGTTTTTCTTTGTGTTCCCCACGTTTGTGTTCTGTGTGCTGTGTTCATCCTCCATCTTGTAAACAGGCCACAACAAGCCAGCTTGAGAGGATGAGCTAACGTCAGAACCAGGACTGTTAAGCTTCTGAATTAACCAATCTTGCCACCATTCCAAAACTGGGCATCATGATGGGTGACAAGATAAATAGCTTTATTGTTTCTGCTGTTTAAAATGTTTCTATTACTTGCAGCCAGAAGCATCCTATCTAACAAAATTTCTCTTGTTGTTAGATACTCTTCTGCAACATTATTCTAGATGGGCTTATACTATTTTTTTTTTTTTTTACACTCATACCATTATTTGTGCAACCACTTCCCTGTTTTTGGACACTGAGTTCATTCCCATGCTCTTGCTGTTACAGCATTGGGAAAGTGGTGCACACACTTGCACTCGTTTTGTTATCTCCTTGGTTTAAATCCTGGGTTAAATGTGAACAATTTTAAGGCTTTTCCTATACATTACAAGTTGCCTGGGAGTCATTATTAATGTGTTTTGTACTAACCTTTGGAAATTCTTCACGTAAGGTCTAGCTTCTCCCTCTCTCTTTTTTATACAGTGATCTATCAATTGCTATGAGAAGAATCATTATCAAAAAATATTATTCTGCAAGTGTGGACTTATTTGGCCAAATGAGTTCCATTTACATAAAGTTATGTCTTATAATAACTTTATCACTTTATGTGCTTCAATCATATTACATTGAGTTCAAATTATTAGACTCTTACGATGTCACATCCCAGGGTCGTGTAAGGTCATATGTTTGGGCACCTGAGGAACTTAAAAAAATCTTTAATAAGGCATGATTGATGTACAATAAACTGCATATACAAACATGAACAACTTGATAAGTTTTAATAATATATACACCCATGAAACCATCCTTGCAATCAAGATAATAAGCATATTCATCTTCAAATTACAAGCCCCGATATCCTTAGTTGCCTGATGTCTAATGTACCATGTCTTGAAATCCATTGTTTCGTATATTTTGTCTTTTTTTTACATTTTTTTTTGGCTGTCTCAGGTGGGGATAAAATCTATTCCCTCATACTCCATCTTGCAACAAAGAAGATATCTTCCACCTGGGGAGCTTTTAAAAATTAATCTCTAGGCTCCACCCAAGGCCAGATGAATTATAATATTTGGGAGAAGGCCTTGGGAACCATATTTATTTATAGTTTTTATTAAAGTATAACTTATATGCGATAAAAGTCATCCTTTTTAGTATGTAGTTTTGTGAATTTTGTCACATGCAGACAGACATGTAACTATCACAATCAATATAGAACAGCTCTATGCCTCTCTAAATTCTTCTATGCCCCTTTGTAGTCAACCTGTCCCCCTAGCCCTAGCTCCTGGCAACCATTGATCTGTTTTCTCTTCCCACAGTTTTGCTCTTTCAGAATGTCATACAAGTGAAATCATGCCATAGGTAGTTTTTTTATTTGGACTTTTTCACTTAGCATAATGCATTTGAGATTTATCAATTAAGC